TTCCTTCTCTAGTTGCAAGGAAGAGCTGAGCAGCCAGAAAACCTGCTATTGGAGATTCTCTTTGGGTTGTCTTTCTTTGTGTTGTTTTTTTTCCCCATGCTTTTTCTTTGTTCTCATTTATCCTTTTTTGTATCCTCTCTTCTCTTTTTTACCCCTCTTTTCTTGTTTTGCCTTATTTCTTGTTTCTTCATATCCTCTTTCCCCTCGCCCTCCTTTCTTCTGCTGTCACAATGCTTCAGGATCAGATTAATGAGAAAAGTGACTTAGGAGCCACACAGGGTATGGCGCCCCTGCCTGGCATCAGGCACTGCTTGCTGGAAGAGCCCAACACACAGTCTTCCTCCTCTCCCCTCATCTCCCACGCTGGCTCCCACAAGCTAGAAGCAGGGCTGTGGGAAGCTGGGCTCAAGAGGGCACAAGTGACCCCTGATAGCACAGGGAGACAGAAAAGGTAATCACGTGTCGCCTAACAGTGGGGACATGATCTGAGAAACTCATCATTAGGCAATGTCATCGTATGAACATCATAGACTACTCACGCAAACCTAGACGGCACAGCCTGAGCACACCCAGCTGTCTGGCACAGCCTGTCGCCTGGCTACAGCCCGGACAGCATGCGCCTGTGCTGAACGCTGCAGGCAGTTAGAACACATGGTGAGAATTTGTGTATCTGAACATACTCAAACATAGAAAAGGTACAGTAAAACTACGGTGTTGTGATCTTAAGGGACCACTGTCATACATGCAGTGCATTGTTGACTGGGACGTTATACGGTTCGTGACTGTATTTCAAAAAAAACAACAACAAAAAAACAAGAACACAAAAGCCCAGCAGCCCAGGGCCAGTTATTAGCTCAGGGGTCACCATCCTGCCCCACAGTAGGCTCTGAGGCCATGTGTGCGTCACAGCCCTGCCCGTGGACGGCCCCCAAGGATGGAGAATCATAGGCACACTTTATTTTTTGAAACCTTGTATGTTGTACTTTTAAGGATTTCCTCTTGAGAGAGATGTCAGCTTCTGCACAGCCCTTATGGGAGGGGCTGCTGAATAAATCAGTGTTTAGCTCCCTCTTTAACTCCCACCCTCATTTTTTTCTGAACATTTCTGTACTTTGTCCATTTTCATCACTGAGCTAAAGAACATTTTCAGAAACATTTTATCCTTTTCCATGATTAGAGGGGAATCACATGTTTAGACTTGGGGAAGAGCCTCTGAGCTCTGGGGGTCTAAACTCCATGATGCCTTCTGAATTCATGCAGCTGTGAGACCTGGTGGGTGCAGCCAGGAGCCTGACTGCAGCTCACCAACGTACACAAAGTGCTAGTAGCCAGAGCCACCTTGTGAGCTCCCTGGGAACCTGATTGTCACCTACAGGGGCTACAAGCCAGTTTCCACATCAGGTGGGACTGGTTGGATTCCTCGGAGGCCTCTCCCTGTTCTAGGCTCCGCTTGAGTGTGCAAGGAGCAGACTCCTGTCCCCTCGTGGTAGAAGAGGCAGGCCGACAGGTGTGTTGGCCCTATTTATGCAGGCTTGGGTGTTGTGACTTCCACTTCACTTTTTTAAAACCTACCTCATGATGGAGACTTCAGCATGCTGCCTCCTTGACATACCGCTGGAGCGCAGAGCATGGGCCAGAGGCCCATCCCCACCCTCACCAAACAGTACCTGCCAGGGGCAACTCGGATTGGGACCGTCAGGTGCAACATTAGCCCTTCCTGTGCCTGCTGCCAAAGGGGTGCTAGGGCTTGCCCCTCACTCTTCCAAAAGGGAGACCGGCCTCTGTCTCCCTGTTTCCTAACAAAACCTCTTCTGTGGCAGGTGAGGTAATAAAGCATGGGGACCTGAAGTGTGTGCGAAACGAAGGAATGCCCATCTACAAAGCGCCCCTGGAAAAAGGGACTCTGATCATACAATTTTTGGTAAGTTCACTGCATTTTCTTCTCATGGAACACATTATTAAAATGCCTACACTGAGAGGGGAAAAAACAATGACCTTTCTTTGCCATCTCACCCTTTACAGGTAATCTTTCCTGAAAAACACTGGCTTTCTCCCGAAAAGCTTCCTCAGCTGGAAGCTCTGCTCCCTCCTCGACAGAAAGTGAGGATTACAGATGACATGGATCAGGTGGAGCTGAAGGAGTTTAATCCCAGTGAGCAGAACTGGCGCCAGCACGGGGAGGCCTACGAGGAGGATGATGACGGGCCCCGGGCCGGAGTGCAGTGCCAGACGGCATGACATGGCATTCAGCGCAGCCCTGCCGGACTAGCACATGATGAATGTAAAGTTGGCACAATGAAATGGCATCGCTTTAATGGCCTCGTGTTTGGGGTGTCCTGTGTATGTGTTCAGCATTCAATTGCTGAGTGTCTTTTTGGGTTTTCTTTTGGTTGTAACTCAAGTTATAGCTTAATTTATATTTAAATGTTTTAAGTGTAAATCACCTGTAGTGTGCATATGGAATCTGTTCATTTACATTTTCAAGATATGCTTTTGAGATGCCAGTGACCACACTGACACTTTGTGCTTCTCTTGGCTTTGCCATGTTCAGTTCCACCAGTAAAGCACAGCCAGTAGCAGCACCCAGCCCCCTAGCGAACCCCAAGGCACAAAGTGGACATCCTGGCCCATCTCTAGGTCTGTGGTTTCTCTTCCCTTCCCCTCACCCTCCCTTGGCAGAGTTACTAGGGCATGATCTCAGGGCTGCTGATATGACATTTCTGAACTAATTCTAGATCCTCTAAAGAATAAAAGCACATCTGTGGATCGGGCTTGGCTTCCTGTGCCTGGTTAGCACACCCAGTTGCAGGGCCAACTTAGTCCCTACTGTTCTGTGCCCTTCAGTGGTTGGAATGGGGGATGTGATACAATCAGATACAGTCATCTCTCTTGGAAGTCTTCTGAACCTTCCAAACCCTGTGGTGAGGATAAACCAGTGTTTTTTAAATGATACACTGACATCACTGTTTGCCTATGACTTCTGCACCTTGTTTTTTGTGGTTTTATGACTTTTCTGTTGACAGCCTTTGCAGTGCTCTCCCACCAAAGTGCTTGCTTGTAAAGACGAAACCCTCCCATGCACCCAGCAGTCTCAGTGCAGCAACAGAAGCCAAGGGAGAATGCTAGTGGTTTGGCGGTATGGCACACCCAGCTTCTCCTCTGACCAGTGATCCTGGGCGACTTGAGGATCTGGAAAGGCATAGAACTCAAGTGTTTTCCACCTCGTTCTCCCAGGTTTAGCTTCCCTCCAAAGGGTCGTTCCTCACTGCACAGCCATATTACAAAGGGCTTCCTGCTCAAGTGATATTTTGGCAAGAACTACTAACCGACTTTTATTGTGGACTATAGTTTGTATGGACTACCACTGTATATTGTAGCTTGGTTGGAGGGATATTAGAAATTATTTTATCCCTGGAAGGTAGACTACAATTTGAACTTAGGGTTACCTCAAACCTTTAGCCATTACTGTTTCTTTCCTACAAGTTGTGAAGAAAAACTGCTACCTTCAAAGCTGCTGGGTTAAAGCAGAAGTCACCTGTCAGATCTACCCTTATTTGGTTATATACTACCTAGAGTTTTGACTCAGACCAGGGACCTCCCCTAAGAGGGGCATAGGGCAGATCAGACCATGGCAGGTAGGGTGAGCCAGCTGGATGGACCAGGTTGAACATTGGTCAGCACAGATATAAAACTGATACTTCCAACTAAAACTACGTGAAAATCAAGTTATAAATGGACCACAACTCCAGGGTGTTGTTTCTGTGCTGTGACTTCCTTCCTAATAAAATTATTGCTAAATAATTAGTTGGTGATGGAACAAAATTACATTCAGCTCCTTGTCATGTAAGAGGAATTTGGAGGGTGTTGCTTAATTTTATTCCACCTGTACATTTGTCACCTTAAAATTAAAACAGCTGGTATGAGAGACAAGTGACTTTGCTTCTTTCTTTGAGAGCTCAAATAAACAATGTTAAGTACCAGTTTGCCTCACATTGGTTGATATAATGGAATGAAGTTTCCACTCACATGAAGCTTTATTTTGAGGGTAGGGGTGAATGCAAACATCAGCTAGTAATAACTGCTACGACAGACAAGAGGAATGGGAACAATAGAAGGGAATAGGGGAAGGTAGTGGCCTCTACAAGGAGCTGACATCTGAGCAGCTACCTGAACACAGTGAAGTAGACCTCTGAAGGTCTGAAGGAGGAACATTTCAGGCAGAGCAAATGGCAAGGACGACATGGGTATAAGAGGGTGAGCAAGGCCGAGGCAGGAGAGAGGCCCAGGGCTATGATAAAGAGCATAGACTCTCTAGATTTCGGTTTCTTGAGCATCATAAAAAAAAAAGAGCATAGACTGTTTCTGAGGGTGATGGGTTTAGGGAAAAGCACATGATCTGACTCAAAAGCACATGATGTTATGATCAATAAAAAGCAACAAGCTTCTGAGTGTTAGCTATTAAGCCTTTCCCATTCATATGTTTACCAAGTCTCAAGGGGACTGCCAAAGAGAAAACTCTGAGGCACAGGTACTCTGGGATAACTGTGGCAGGGCTGGAGTTCAACCAGTAGGCACAGGCTCAAGCCTAAGCATAGTTAAGACAGCAAGAACAGCAGTTTGCACTCAACCACCCACTCAGGGAGTTAGAGACCTCTCTGAAATTACTAGGATAAAAAGGAGGGTGTGGCAGAGGACATCTTTAATACATCAAACAGAAGGATACCCAGATAGATATGATTACAGAATGTCAAATATACTGTTTCCTCCAAGACCCCATTCTGAAATAGATTAGCTTCTTTATCATGGCTTCTAGGAGCTTGCTGCTGTTATCTTGCCACATGGAAGAGTGAGCCTGTATTTTTAAGCTGGAAAGTTCAATAACTGCCTGGATCGCTTCATCTTTGAGGCAGAGATTCACTCTTACTTAACCATGCCAACTCCCCTCCCTCATTGTTCTACCAGTGATAATAAGTGAAAAAAGAAGCATGTTCAAGAACATAGGTGTTTGCATTAAGAACACTTTATTCACGTTAAAGTATGAACAGCATTTTGAATAAAACATGAAAAGATTTATATTACATCTATAAAATTTAAGTCTTTGCTACAATAAATGCTATATTTCTTTTAAACATGCCTAAAAAGGTAAGGAATGCCATGATCAATCTGTACATTCTCTTTGCAGCGTGGCCCTGGAAAACTTTGATGTTTAAATTGGACAATCATATATGTGAATTTCCTGGTCATCTCCAACAGACACAATTTTTGAGCCATTTCCATTGTATTTTACTCCCCAGACCTGTAAATTAAAAAAAAGTTCTAAAATGCCTTCATTCTTTATGAAGAATGTTTATGAAATGAACATCCTTATTCTCTTCTTATTATTCTCAATCTAGAAAAACACTCTAGAGACGAGGATGTTCTACTACTTTCTAAATCAGCGACAATGGAGACATTCTTTAACCAAGCACCTTCCATTATTGCTATGTAATTATCATTCCCCTCCCATACTCCAAAAAATTTCATTTTCAAATACAACACTAAATCAAGATATCTACAACTCCTTCAAAGGCTCAGAATCCAGAGGGTAACCTAATACCAGGAAGATGGAACCCATAGGGACCAACATTATGTTTCTAAGAAGGCCCCACAACTACCCCAAGGTCACTGCCTACAGGGAAAATTGCAAACTGGGATCCTCACCTGACTCCTTGTGCCCACCTCCCATGGTCCATAAGTCTCACTCCTTTATTAGAGGCCTGTGGAGCCTGCTTATCCCCAGGAGACAGACAACATGGTATTGCAGACCACAGATTTTATATGCTATGTGTTGAATTAACAGATTCACACATCCTTCCCAGACAGAACTGATGTGGTTGGAGTTTCTCTAATTGGGAATAACTTCTTGGTTATTAGGAGGTGATTCTAGGTAGTCAGCCTGTCACCCTAACCCTGAGACGGGTGTCCAGCTCTGATTTTAGTGTTGTGATTGCTGGCCTCACTTCCACACTAAACATCTTCCTCTGAAACAGCACCACAATGACCCCCACACATAAGACAGCACAGGCAGTTAGGACTTACTCCCTGAGTAAAATGTTTAACACATTAACTGCCATGTGAGTTGTGGGTTTTTTTTGTTTTTTTTTTTTTTATTTTTTTCTTTCTTAGAGCCAGGAACACCAAGAGAATGTGAGTTGTGTTTAAATCACGCTAGTTTTGGGTCCACAGCCTTGTGAATCTGGGCAAAATCCTGCAGTTGGTTCATGAAAATCTTACTTGTTAATGTTCTTATTTTTACAGTTAATGTTGACAAATTAATTCCCAAAACGTGGATTAAATGAATAGAAGTCAATTTCATTTTTCATTAAATTAGAAACGATTGTTTTGTTTTTGAAGTTTTTATTCTATTTTCATAATAAAACACCATGGCCCCAAGGAAAATTTTTTTTCTAGTGTGGCAGTCAATGTGTTAGTTAAATCCAGGAGTAGAATATCAAGATTCAACCGCCTCAATTTTGTTGGCAACAATTTAAGATTAAATGTAAAAAAAGCACAATTATGTTAACTTTAAGTTGCATTTGAAATAGGAGAACTCTATAGGATCTCCTAAAAGCATTTAAAATATATTAGTAAAAGCCAATTTTATACATTGATTAACATTTTTTATGCTGAGTTCCCCAAGACCCTTGCTACTCACAGTGGTTGGGACCAGCAATCCCAGCCTTACCTGGAAGCGGTTAGAAACGCAGAATGTCAGCCCCCCCCCAAGACCTATTGATTCAGAATCTGCATTTTAACCAGATTCCCCAAGGGATTCATATGCACATTAACCATCCAGCAGTATTACACTAGAACGCCTTTACCATTTTGTATTTCCCTTGGCAAAGATAAAGACTCCTATGAGAACACTCTCCTTTTAAAGACTGAAACAAAAGTCATCAATACCACTTAAAGTCAAACAACTATTTTAAAAAAAATCACATCACTTCTTTGGACAGTTCCAAAAATGCCAAGTGATAACTGTTTAAGCAAGGGAAGCTCCTGAAGAGGAAGGGTCCTTAACTGAGCCTGCCACAGCCCAGAAGCACCCAAAGAGAGCCTCAGGCTCACCACAAGCACCAGCTGCAGCAATTTCCAAAGAAAACATTTAAAGGCTATGTGGCTAATACCCCGTTTTCTGGCCTATGTGGGGATATGCCTCACGGTTGCTAGGCTGCGAGCATGTCCCAGCCTCTGCACCCCAGACTGTGCACAGGAACACTGGCCATATGCATATCCAAGCAGTCAGAACAGCTTGGACCCAGGATGCTACCAGTCTCAACAGATCAAGCAACAAGGTTAGGAAAAGAAAATTGTTTTGGCACAGTGGTCAGACAATGTCAGCAATCTAAAACCAAAGAAATTTAAATGTTAATTATGCCATACCTGATCCTGGTGATCAAAGAAGGTGTGAACACAAGTCCTCGTTCCAACATCCCAAACTTTTACGCTTTTGTCAGATGAACTATTTTAAAAAGTAAATATCAGTATCAGAAAAGAGTTTTCAGACAGGTTGAAGTTGGAAGAAATCTGACCAAAAATCTCACTCCTTCACTGACTTATATTCTTCTAACTTCAGAAGGCCTCCCTGCTCAGTGTAGGAGATGGCCAGGGTATTGGCCATTGTTGGGTGGCTTTCCCTCCTCACAAGGCAGCCATGTCCCTGACACTCTGACCTGCCTGGCCCTCACATTAGGTGGTCTGACCAGGGTCTTGGACACATCTACCTATTTTCAAATGGGAGGGAGGCCTGCTAAATCTTCAAGATACAGGCTCTCAGAAGGCCTCTGTAAACCACTGTGCAGTGCCTTTAAGCTGACATCTCATGTTTTTCAACCATCCTGGCCATCCTGGGCCTGAACAACACTGGGGTCTATAAGCACAACATTTTACAAAGAGATTTATATATTTTAAATTACTGTCGAAACACAGGTATACCTTTAGAGTAATTTTATGTAGAAGCCTAGATTTGTAAGGAAAATCTAAGAGAATAACTATTCAAAAGAATTCACCTTTGTTCCAGCTAAGGTCAACTAACTTGACTAAATAAAAATTTTACAAACTGCAGAAAACAAAGGCTACCTAAATAAAAAAGGATCATACAATCTTCAAATTTTAAGGCAATTCATACAGAAAGACCAACCATCTTCATCTTCCCAGCATTTTAGAAACTGTTAAGATTTATATGTACCTGGAAACAAAATGAGTATCATCAGGACAAAACGCAACATTCAGCACCCAGGAGGCATGGCCACTCAGTGTGCCAGCCAAGTTGGCATGTTGTCTGAAATAGGAAAGGTTCAAACAAAATGGAGATTTAGTTTTTAGAATATAATCACTGAAGTGGAAAGTATATTATTAACCCTGCTCATATAATTGGACCAAATTTGCTACCCTTATTAATGCCCACATTACTATATCAAAAACTCCCTTTTCCATGAAGTGGCATCATGCATTACAGAGAAAATTATTTTTATAGTGGCATTAACCAAAACTGCATTGATGCCACCAAGAGCCAAGAATAGGATCCCTAACAGAAAGCTTAAAAGCTCAAAATAAATAACCATACTTTAAGAGGCTCTGCAAGCCAACCCCTAAGATGAGGAATCTGAGAACTAGCAGGGGTGAGGAAGCCATTTTAGGAGAGTGTCAGGTTCAGACCCTGCCTGCACCAGCAACCTGTCCACATGGGACCAGTGCCTTGTGTCCGGGAAAGCATCAAGACACACTCTATGACAGATGAGGCTTGGGTAGATCACTTTATCCTAATTAATAAAAATACAGGTCTACTCACCACAGCCATTTCTACTTTTTTAATAAAAGTGAAACCAAATCACCCAACTTCAGAAAGCCTCCCTGCTCAGTGTAGGAGATGGCCAGGGTATCGGCCATCGTTGGGTGGCTTTCCCTCTTCACAAGGCAGCCATGTCCCTGACACTCTGACCTGCCTGGCCCTCACATTAGGTGGTCTGACCAGGGTCTTGGACACATCTACCTATTTCCAAATGGGAGGGACGCCTGCTAAATTTTCAAGAGAATTGGCAAGCGAATAACCCTAAGGCCTAAGTGAGGTCACCAATTTTACTCCTGAAAACAGACCTCAGCAGAGTAGAGCAGACCTCTACTTAGTTAGGTGTTAGGAAGGGCAGGCTCAGGGGGATGCAGCGGGACCACAAGAGCGTAAAAAGTCCTAGATCTTCATTCAGTGCCACCACCTGGGCAAATCATCACCTCAGCCTGCGTTCCCCATGTGCATAATGGGGACACTAATCTGTGCTGCTACCTCACTGGTTGTTGGGAGGATCAATAAAATAGTAGCAATGAAAGTCATACAAAGAAGTCAGATATGCAAAGAATTTCTACATTTATACCGGCTCTGCTGCCAGCAAGCAAGTACAACTCTAGAGAGACATCTTACCCTCTGGACCCTAGCACCCTCATTTGGCTCTAATTTCAAAAGCTGCAATTCTAATTCCATGTCTACTTGACCTTTTGCCATCCAAAAGCTGCCAGAAGTAGGCTAGAAGGGTTTCTACTCCCAAGTTTAAACTCCCAAAAAACTCTCACAGGCTCCTTAAAGGACATGCATACAAACGATCAGGTTGTGGCACGTGAAGGTGGAGGCAGTCTCAGCACCCACAGCTAGGGATGGAGGGTGGGAAGTATGCATACAATAGAACAGAATGCCACATTCAGGAGTAATGAACCAAAGGCACACCTAGCAGGGAGAGTGGTCACAGCACCAAGTCATAGTACCAAGGACACATATCAAACGCATTACAGGGGATATTTTGGAGCGAACGGGAGTAGGGGCTGAGAATGATGGGGAAAATAAGAGAAAGGGGCCTGCACATGCTCACAATGATAGAGAGCTGTGAACTGAAGAGAATGGTTAACTCACTTCTACATTGGCAGTATCAACAACCGAAATGCTGCCTCATCTAGACTTGCAGTGGGGTGACTTACAAATGGACAGCTCCTTAACTAGGACAGAGGAGTGTCTGCTGGAATACCTCCACTCCTAAAAAATGGATGTTCTAATTTTTTACTGTCACTTGGGGCCAACCAGAGCCCATAGCTTCATTTCTTCATCTGTATACTACTTACCTACCCCCAAAGAATTTAAAATCAGTAAGCCCACAAAAAAACAGGCTGCCTGACAAAAAGTAGCAAGTATCTGATCTGATCCTACCAGGGAACCCATGCAGGTCTTCCTCTATGCAACCTCTGAGGACACACACTAAGCTCAAAGACAGGGGCATTGAACAATGGAGGATGGCCTGAGGAGACAAGGGTGTCTGATGTGACCTGAGCACAAGCCTTCACTAGATCCAGGACAGGGAGCAGCACACCTCCCCAGGGCTCCTCCTAACAATAAGGGGACAAGAACATACATTGGTGGTGAGACACCTTTAATCTCAACAAGGTAACTTACACATCATAGATCTTGATGTAACCATCATCTGAAGCAGTGACAAGGAGCTGAGAGTCCGGGGAAAATGTCAAAGAGCGAATGGGCATGGCATGGCCTAAAATTCAAAAGGCCCTTGTTAATCTGGCAAACCACTGTCTCCTCCCTGTCTCCTTATCATATGGCTTCCCACTGAGTATGCCCCTTTTAATGACCATGAGTCACTGAGCTGGACTGCCCAGGTGCTCCATTCAGGAAAAGGAGGGTACTAACTAGGCCCTTCCCCTCTTATTGTTCTAGAAACACCCATATAACCCCAGATTCTCTTCCTTAAGTCATTTCTCCTTATTACCCTTCCTTGACTTCAGCATTACATTGCTTTAAAAAACTCATCTTCTACAAATATAGCCAAACAAGGAAATATGCATTGCTTCTAAATGTAAGGTTGAACAAATGTTATTTCTCTACCAAATCTTTTATTGTAGGGTAAAGGATAAAGTGAGGAGATGATATATTCACTTGGTTAGAATTCAAAACAGTATAGAAGCATGTCATAATGTCTCCTCCTACATCCTATCCCTGTTCTTTAGCTACCTAGTCCTCCTTCCCAGAGGACCTTCAAATTATCAACAAAAAGAAGTTGTTTTCCAATCACAAAGTTCTTTAGAACAAAAAATGACAGAAATGAGACATTCATATAGCTAGGATAATATTAACACATAAATAAAAAATAAGTTTGTTCACCAAAACAAGCATTTAACACTGTTATAAGAACTAATATTGTCTAGGTTAAAACTACAGTGACAAGACTAAAACCTGGATATATTTCAATTTTCCAACTGAAACTGATGGTATTTTATAAATCTAATGCTAATTTGTCATTTAATGGCATTTTAATTAAATAATAATTCTTCCTTTGTGATCTGATAATCAATTTGCAAAAATATGATGATGAACTCTACCTTCCAGTGTATGCAGAAGTTTTCCAGTTGCAATATCAAAAATATTGATGATTCCATCTATGGCTCCACTGGCCAGATATTTCCCATCAGGACTCTGTTCAGAGAACATATGGAAAAATGGGCACTTTGAGACTCCACATTGTTAAGCTATCCCTATCAAACACAAGCAAGTCTCCTGCTGGCTATAAGTCTAACAGGATGGCTGGCAAAGCACACCAGCAAGACAGTGGCTGCTCAAGCAACCCAATGAGGAATCTGTGCCGAGGACTGAAACAGGCTGGAAGGGTAAACTGAAAGAATCAGAAAGAGAAAAGAGAGCAATGTTTCCTTACATATGCAATACTAAGAATGAATTTTCCTCTTGTGTCCAAAGAATATTCCTTTTTCCCACTTTCCACACCAAAAATGTTCACTTTCCCCACATGAGTTCCTGTGGCCAGATACTGGGAATCAGGAGAAAAGGCCAAAGTCCAAGCATCCACTAAACAGAAAAATGAAGGAAAAAAAATAGTGAGAACAGATTTGACCTTAATTTTAATAACTAAAGTTTTATCAAAAGATACATTTTTTCAATTGAATAAATGGTGTCCTGACTCAGAAAACTGTGTTGTAAAGATGCTAGTTCTTTACCAGGTTTAAATTTAGTTTAAGGGCTTCTTAAATTTTTAATGAAAATAGGACAAACCAAGTGTTAATAAGGATATGAAGAAACCAGAACCGGCCGGGCGAGGTGGCTCACGCCTGTAATCCTAGCACTCTGGGAGGCCGAGGTGGGCAGACTGCTCAAGGTCAGGAGTTTGAAACCAGCCTGAGCAAGAGTGAGACCCTGTCTCTACTATAAATAGAAAGAAATTAATTGGTCAACTAATATATATACAAAAAATTAGCCGGGCATGGTGGCACATGCCTGTAGTCCCAGCTACTCGGGAGGCTGAGGCAGTAGGATCACTTGGGCCCAGGAGTTTGAGGTTGCTGTGAGCTAGGCTGACGCCATGGCACTCACTCTAGCCTGGGCAACAAAGTGAGACCCTGTCTCAAAAAAAAAAAAAAAGAAAGAAAGAAACCAGAACCCTCATGCACTGGTGGGAATGTAAAATAGTACAGCCATTTTAAAAACCAGTTTACCAATTTCTGAAGAGAAGACACATACTTACAATAATTTCCAGCAATTCCACTCCTAGGTAGTTACCCAAAAGAAATGAAAACATATGCCCACTCACTCTTTATTCGTAAGAGCCCAAAACTAGAAACAATCCAAATGTCCATTAACTGGTGAATGGATAAACCAAATGAGGTAAGTCCTTACAATGGAATACTATTCAGCAATAAAAAGGAACAAATCCATGTTCAGAACATGAATGAACCTCAAAAACATTAAAGAAAAAGACAAATATAATTCCACTTATATGAAATTTTTCAAAACTATAGAGACAGAAAGAGTGGTTCTTGGTTCAGTGATTGCCTGAGGCTGAGAGTAGGAGCAGGGATTGACCACAAGTGGGCAGGAGGGAAACTTCTAGGGCATAGAGGTATTCTAAAACTGAATTCGGGAGATGGCTACACACCTGTAGAAACCTACTCAGTTAACTGTATTTTTAAATGAATGAGTTTCATAATGCAAGTATAGAGGTGAAATTTTACCTCAACTAAACTATAAATAAATGATGTACCAGAAATACTCTTACATAAAACTATAATATGACAAAGTATTTGCCACAATTTAACTCAGAATGTGGAACCGTTTAAAAAAATCAATTAGTTTTTAAGTCACACTGCACATTGCAGTTAATTTCAAGAGTTCTATTCAAATGTTATTTATGCACCACAGTGCTTCTTTGGCCAAAATGTAAAGGTCTCCAGACTCAAGTGCGGCCTTGAGTAAGCATAAGTACTGTATCCGTCTTTCTAGACCATCGATGGTATTTTAGCATTTCTTTCCTCAGTTACATGAGACCCTTCAGAGGCAATCCTTCAGAGTTTTAAGAGTTGGGTCAGAGCCTAGAGGCCAAGGAACATTCTTCTAGTTTCCACTACCTGCCTGGGTTGTTCTACCCAAGCCCACTCGTATATGGGGACAATTTCAAAGTCCTGCCCCCCTCACACCTGCCTAAGAACAGTGCTTGTTAGATCCAAGGGAAAGAAGAACCTTCCTAAGTCACCTTCCTCATTCCTGGGACAGGACTCAGCAGTCAGGACTGTTGGCCTGCCCTGCCCTTCTCAGCTCACGGGACAGTGAAAAAGAGGAGAGGCCTCTGTGAGCTTTTTCATGGTAGGCAAAGGCTCTAGCACACAAGGGTCACCACCACATCCAGGCTATTTTTTTAAAATAAAATTCTCTTGAAAATTTTCACACACATATTCTAAGTAACAAATCATTTAACTTTGTTACTTTACTTAGGAAATGTTTTAAAAATGAAATTTACTTTAAAATTGCTCAGTTAACCAACAAGACCTAAAAAATCTTTTATCGACCTCCCAAATAGCTGGTTTTTAATATCTTTATTCCTAAATGATAGTAGCATTTATTCTAACAGAATTATGTTTTCTTATTCCTATTATAATTAGCCATTTACATGAATAATAGTTGGCAGAAAAACCTCTTTTTTTTTTTTTTTTTTGAGACAGAGTCTCACTCTGTCACCTGGGCTAGAATGTACTGGTAATGTACTGGCTTCATCATAGCTCACTGCAACCTCACACTCCTGGGCTCAACGGATCCTCCTGCTTCAGCCTCCCAAATAGCTGGGACTATAGGCATATGCCACTATGCCTGGCTAATTTTTTGTAGAGCCAGGGTCTTTCTCTTGTTCAAGCTGGTCTTCAACTCCTAGCGTCAATCAATCCTCCAGCCTCGGACTTCTGGAGTGCCAGGATTACAGGCATGAGTCAGCATACCTGGCCAGAAAACCTGATCTTTATTCCTCAAAGTTTAATAAAACACTTCTAAATTATTTTTAGATTTCCCTATGAATTATTTTGCAACACAGAACTTTTAGTACCAAATATCCTTATGCTATAGAAGGAACAATTTTTATTCCTCAATTAAACCTTGCAATCTAAGATTTTAATGTATGCATAACAAATATTTATTTTAATCAGTTGTACCTCATCATTTAAAAAGTTATTTTTCTTTACCTTTGGGCATCTTCAGCCACCCAACATGGAGGAGACTCATATTCCCACCTTTGTTCTTCTTCATGATCAGCTGCTGGAAAGCTACAGCCGGGCTGGGCTACCAAATGCAGGATCCTCTCCTTCATCTTCACTTTCTTCTACTTCCTCACTTTCTTCTCCAGGACCTGGGATTTTCTCTCTTCTCTTTTTGTCTACCTTTTGCAGTGGTTTACATTCTCCATGCATATTTTCAAGACTCATATAACTTAAGTATCCATTTCCCCTACATTCACTAGACCTAGACTCATCAAAGGAGTTTTACCTTCAAATGAATTGAGCTGCTCTTTAGCAGCCAATAGCAATGCTTGCTTTTGTTACTTGACCAAACGACTATTGTTTAATGGCCTGGTCTAGTTTCATGCAGAGTCCTATCCAAAAAGAAAGTAAATCCAACCCATTTATTCCCCTCAGTATCTTTTTCTTTCATAATAGTAAACTTTACAGCTTTGCACACTTGGAGAATATCCAGTATAAGGTAGGTTTGTCAGGGAAGGAGAACTGACAGACACACTATCCTTTTACTTGGAACCAATCTAGAACCGGTTCTTCAGTTGCTGTGTGTCCAGGGCCACAACCATGCAGTGGCCAAAGCGTTACGGGTCCTGGGGGGCTTAAGTGTCTGAGATTAAAAAAAAGCAGCAAGAGATATGCCTCTTCCTCCTCTCTTTTTAAGATGCTCTTTATATATCAGAGTCTTAATAAACTTTGCAGATGGTTTGCAAGTCTTCTACATATAAGTAATGTAAATAGGATAAGGGCATATACAAAGACAAACATCCAGGAAGTCAGAGTGTGTGAGTAGCTTTTTCCTAATACATATCCCAGCCTACACACTCTGAAAACTGATTCAGTGGATCCAAAATATAGGATGGGCATGCATATTTTTAAAAAAGTGCTAGTAGTAAGCATCATAGACAAGGAATACTGCTTCTGAGGGGAAATGCACTCAGTTTTCAGACAACCCAATATAGAAATAGCCTAGGATGGGCCAGGCACAGTGGCTCATGCCTATAATCCTAGCACTCTGGGAGGCCGAGGCAGGAAGACCACTTGAGGTCAGGCGTTCGAGACCAGCCTCAACAAGAGCGAGACTTCATCTCTACTAAAAATAGAAAAAATCAGTCAGTCAACTAAAATAGAAATAATTAGCCAAGCGCAGTGGCTTATGCCTGTAGGCCCAACTACTCGAGAGGCTGAGGCAGGAGGATCACTTGAGTCCAGGAGTTTGAGGCTGCTGTGAGCTAGGCTGACGCCATGGCACTCACTCACATGGCACTCACTCTAGCCTAGGTAAGCATAACTGGTGGGAGGCAAATCCAGCTGAAGCATCAATCAAGGCAATTATGTTAATGAAGCATCTAAGCAGCTCTTCTCTCAATCAACCCACAAAGGGGTGTGCCAGAGAGACACCAGGCTATCTGCCCTCTAGCAGTCACACCCATTCTGGCAGAATAGGCTCTGCAGGTGAATGCTATGTAGTCATCTGTATGTCGTACTGCTTGTTCCACAAAAATCCAGGCCACCGACATCAAATTCCACCACCTCAGATGTTTATCAAGGCTAATGGACAAGATTATGCTGTCCTACAGTACTTAAAACAAAAAAAATCAATGAATTTGAATTTGTTTCTTAAAAAGTTCCCTATCTATCACATACTATAAATCAAACCCTTTAAGTATAATTAGTAGAGATTACCATGATACAAATACATGAGGACACAGTGCTTTATGCCTTAAGCTTTTATAAGGCAGTGAATGTATCAATTCAGAACATGGCAAACAGAGAACCTCTGGACCATCCAAATATAGGTCCACAATTCCAAACCAGCAATTCTAAAATCCAAAAGCTCTGAAAACTGTGAGTTTTTTCATAGGTTTACTACCAAAATTCATTTGGCAGCAAAACCTGACCTGAACTGACATAAGGCTATTTATAGCCTATATTTATCACACTTAGTATAAATTCTTATGTTTAGTTGTAGAGATTAGTGTTTGATTACAGTGCTATTCCAGCCCCACTGAAGGTATTATGTAATATACAGTTCATGTATCTATATCACCCCTTTCAAATTCAAAAAATTCTCAACTGTAAAATACATCTATCCCTAAGGGTTTTAGAAAAGGGATCATGAACCTCTATTTTTCTCCCCTAAAAGTAAAACTCTTACCAGGTCCTGCATCTATAGACTTTATCTGTTTGCCGTTTTCCAAGTCCCAGAGCCGAATATGAGCATCAAGAGAACTGGATGCAGCAATGGGCAGGGTGTGGCTGATGTCCACAGACACCACCCCCAGCTGATGTCCCTCCAGACTCCATTGTAGGTCCAGCCTCTCATCACGCCTTCAACAGGGGACAGAGAAATGGATTTCTTCACACACAACACACTGTACCTGGCATCTGTAATTCTGGGTCCTTGTGACTATGCATTACCAATGGTCTATGAAATACAGAGTCAGAGAATTGATAAACTATAAAACAGCAAATGTTACCAGGTTTTTACTTTGGGACTTTTTTATATCATCATATTGCTATTGCTTTCTTGACTAGAAAAAATTAACACTTCCCTAATTGTGACTTGAGAGCCCACCAGCAAAACCCTTGTCCCCAATTTCCCAAATCTATATGTTAAGGAAGAGGTGCTCACCATTTCCAGACCTTCACCAGGTCATCCAGGGATCCTGAGACCACTGTCTCAGAGTTTTCCTTCTTGTTTGTCCCCCAGGCAACTGACCAAATGGCATCATCATGGGCTAGAATGGAAATGCTTCATTTATAAAGTTTTCATGTATGCAACTTCCAAATTTAATGTGGTAAAATGAAGCTGAAATATTGTTCAATAATTGTGAGGTAACATCCACTCATATCTTCTTTACTATTTACAAGCACTTTCCCATACAGCTTTTATTGGAATTGTGGAGGCACGTATAAAAACTGGATGTTCTGAAGAAGCACGTTTACCAGGTGGGAAGGCAGTACCAAAATAAGCCAGGTCTTCGGACTTCAAATCCAACATCCTTTCCTTTAAAGCAGTCTGGAAAGCTATCACTTGGATAAAACAAGTAAAACCAGTGGGGAACGTCCCCTCCCTCCCAAAAAAAACCTAAACTTGGTGAGAGACACACCTTAGAGATCTTCAGAAATCTGTGCTGTTTACAGTAGACAGTTCAACCAAAGGTCTAAAAACAAATACCTAATATAGTCTCTATACATAAGTTGCCTTTTACCAAAAGTAACTTTGTCATGCTTAATGGACCAGTTATTACAACAACCCTATGAAGAAGGTACCATTAATATCATCCTCATTTTATAGACAAAGAATCAGAGCTTTAGAGAAGCCTAGTATGATAGCTCACCCAAAGTCACAAAGCTAAGAAGCGGCACAGCTAGGATTCAAATCCAATCTCTCAATTAACCTTAAATCTAAGTTTGCAAACAGCATGTTTGGTGGGCCATGCTGTTGGGTCTGCAGACGTAGTGTGCTTATAAAAATATGACAAGTACACATGAAGGCTTTATCCATGTCTGGCAGCAATTATCCAGGGCTACCTTTCCAAAGTATGAATATAATGACATTACACTTAAACAGCTATGAGTTACATATAGTGAGTCATGGCTTTAATTACAATCGCCACCTGACCCCAGCCTGCTAACATGCCACCTGGATGGCATTAGCTACATACGAGGTAGTTGACTGGCATGTCCATTAGCTTAGCAGTCACGTATACTAAGTAACTTGGAAGAATGCTTTTGGCTTAAACTTCAGATGACCCAAATGGTAGCTACTTAGAGTAGAAGAGCTTTTATTAGGCATTCCACAAATTCCTCAGGCCTCCCCTAACTCATCTAGTCTAAGATGTGTGAGTAGTTCATGCATAAACACTACTCCTGGTTGTAAGTGAAGGACTCTATATAAAGACCCCAAGGCAAGTTGCAAGTTCAGGGCCAGGCTCAAGTTCACCTCCCCAGATGAGCTGGTATTAACAGACTTCTGAGGCTCAAAGAATTTTATCTTCCGTTGGCAGCTGGGAAGTTCAGTTATGTCTTCCTCAGGTGAGAAAGCTTTCCTGAGCCTGGAGTTCTCCAATCTATCATATGACTCCTGCTGCTTCTCCGCAGTAATAGTTAGTTGTTCAGGTTTTTTGTTTGTTTTTAAGTGTATTTGTTTTCACCTGCCTCTGCCAATCTTCTGCATCATTAGTTGGGAACTGCATTATAAAAATCTTAAAGAAACCAGGTACAACAGTTTTTCACAGATGAATTTGTTTAAACAGGCAGACTACTTACCTTGCTCTTGTTTGAAGAGAATGCTGTACTAAAAAGGAACAGAAGCCACATTAAACCAATGGTCAGATTTCAGATATCCCACATCCCCTCCCCTACCACACTCCCCCCAAGAAGATATGGTCATATAGTGTTAGCTACTTCCTCTGCTGTCACTCTGACCATCCTGCAAGCTCCTTGATTCCCACTTTATGCAAGATTTGCACAGTCATACCAGAAAAAAATTCTTTAAGAAACTGATACTTTCTCCTTCTCTACTACTACCCACCTCCAACAGGAGACTAATAAATTATGTTTTCTTTTTCTGCTCTGATGACCAGGAAGCTCAGAGTCCAGTTTGTAGCTTAATTTTTGCAGTTGTATAAGACAATGCAGCCTGCATAATAACCTGTTAACTTTGTCCTAATCTTATTACATTTTCTTTGTAGTTGTAGAGACAACAGGGTCTTCCTGTGTTATCCAGGCTGGTCTTGAACTCCTGGCCTCAAGCAATCCTACCGCCTCCTCAGCCTCCCAAAGTGCTGAGATTACAGGCATGAGCCACCCTTCCTGGCCCTAATCTTATTATAGAGATATGTTTTCCCTGTTCTATCTTCTGTTCTCATCTTTGTTTTGGTGTACAAAGTCTTTTAAGTTTCCTCAATCCCCCTCTAAACTGTGGTAAAGACTTAAACTAATCCTCCTTTTAGTGTCAAGCATTTTACTAGTGCCACCTAATTTTGTTGTGACTAGGTGCCCAGGGTCACCTAGCTCTTTAGGAACAGAGCAAGAATTAGATGCTAGTTTCTTGACTACACACCCAGACAACCTACTGGACTTGAATTTGCCAGAGATCAAATGATATTTTCCCCCTAACCTAAGACTTACCTGGTTGGTCATTTCCTTAACCAAGGATGAAGAGTAAAAGGCCAGACAGCTCTGTGGAAACAACACCAGGGTTTTAGTAAGGGGGTGTCATCAGGACAGAGGGGGCTACAGGTGATTCCCTTGACCAAGAAAATAAGACAACCCTTCTTTATGGAGTTGTTCTGACACCTTTCTATAGATCAGTCTCTCAAGCCCCCTTCACAAGCCCTACTAGGTAGTGTGGTCTTCTTTTCACCTTTGAACCTAAAGACCCAACTACCACCTACTCCTATCCCATAATTTCTTTTCCCCAAGTCTGACCACAGAGAGTGACCAGTCACTGTCCCTTGCTGCTCTTTAGAGAAACAAAACTATACCCTCTTTTAATTTTAAATTGTACTAAAAACTCAACAACCAATATAGGGGAGTCCAAAGATATCCAAGTTCTTATACACAGAGGTCTCAACCAAAAATGCCTTTAAGAGACAATAGGGGCCGGGCGCTGTGGCTCACGCCTGTAATCTTAGCACTCTGGGAGGCCGAGGCAGGATTGCTCAAGGTCAGGAGTTCAAAACCAGCCTGAGCAAGAGCGAGACCCCATCTCTACTATAAATAGAAAGAAATTAATTGGCTCACGCTAATCCTAGCACTCTGGGAGGCCGAGGCGGGAGGATTGCTCAAGCTCAGGAGTTCAAAACCAGCCTGAGCAAGAGCAAGACCCCGGTCTCTACTAAAAATAGAAAGAAATTCATTGGCCAACCAATATATATAGAAAAAAGACGCCACGGCACTCACTCTAGCCTGGGCAACAAAGTGAGACTCTGTCTCAAAAAAAAAAAAAAAAGAGACAATAGGCATATAAACAAGAGCAGGGACTGGAAGGAGACACATGTCTCCCAAAAGGCATCAAAGTCTTCAAGGACTTAGCTCAGCTAAACATAGACCTAACTTACTTTAAGAATAGATTCCCAGCCTGAGGAAGAGTGAGACTCCTGTCTCTACTAAAAAAAATAGAAAGAAATTAGCAGGACAACTAAAAATATATAGAAAAAATTGGCCGGGCATAGTGACACATGCCTGTAGTCCCAGCTACTCGTGAGGCTGAGGTAGAATGATCACTTGAGCCCAGGAGTTTGAGGTTGCTGTGAGCTAGGCTGACACCATGGCACTCTAGCCCGGGCAACAGAGTGAGATTCTGACTCAAAAAAAAAGAATAGATTTAATTTCTCAAACTACATTAAGGGTTCTTATTTTTTGTGTGTGCCACAGACCCCTTTAGCAGCCATTTAAAACCTATAAACCCCTTCTCAGAACATCTTTAAATACAGAAAATACATAGCATTAGAAAGGAAACCAAGTATAGTAGATTCTCATTATTCACAGCAATTATGTCCTATAAAGTTGCCACAAACACCAACTTATCAAATAGTGAATCATCACTTCTCAAGGAAACACAGAGTTAGGTTCCTGAAAACCTCTGGGCACACTTTTGTTAACTGATCAATACATAACCATGTTTTATGTTTCTTTCTCTTTAAAGGCACTTTACTGAATATACATTAGTAATCATTAATATTAAACTCATGCCTAAACAAAGCTTATCTAACACATATTTTCTCCATAAGACACATCACAGCCTTCTTGCACTTAGGAACACTAGTCAACACTTCAGCAGCATGTTTGGGGGCTATCTTACTTAAACAATGGAATCACCAACAAAAAACACAAAAATGCAAAAAGTGTGGCACTAAAGACTACAAAAAGGGCTGAAAAAAGAAGGCAGAGTGTTGCCTTGTTTCACTTCAGCTGAGAACATGCATATCAGGAGACTTAAAATTTTCACCACCTTGCACATGGCCTGCAAAGACGACAAAAGTGCTGCAAGTACTGATTTGGGGGCTACAAATAAATTTTAGTGAGTAGGTAAATTCACAAATACTGAATCCACAAATAATGAGGACAGACTGTGTGTTGAAATTTTATCAAAATACAAAATCTAAATTTGTGAAAGCATGTACTTATTAACATTATTATATAAGATCTAGCATCCAAGCTAATAACTACCTTAATCTCAAAGTTGTAAGGAGCTTAACCGATGTCCTGAGATATTAAAATAACTGTAATTTCTATTCATTACAAAGTCACATTGTTCATACTGTGGTTTGTTGCCTATATTCATAATAGAAGAAAATGCTAAATTTCAGTTAGAGGTTAGGGAACACAAAGATGCAATTTTTCTTCTCATCTGAGTTTATGGTCCCCCAGTTCTACCCATGGGCAGTTTAACAGCTAAAGCATCCAAGTTCCAGATATGTGCTTTAAATATGCAAGCCTAAAAAATTGCCTATAGTTTTCCAAAAAATCAGAAAAACAAATGATTTCTAAATAATCCTTGCCTATGAAGATGTCACTCAGGTTGTACTGTTTTATTCATTTGTGACCCAAGAACAGGGTTCTGCCCAGAGTAGGAAAGACAGGAAGAAGCTCAAGTCCATTTTGCTAAAAGGGCATTCAACCTCTGCTTAAGCACAGTCCTCTGCCTGGTGAAGCACCAGCTTGTCTTTTTCCCTGCCAATCTGGGCCTTACATTTAGCAATAGAGACAAACAAAAAAAAGTAGGAAGTCTTGCAAGAAGTCAACTTTCAAAATGCCAGTCTCCCCAGGACAAGTGTGTGATTCTATCAATGAATATACGTTTGAGAATGTACTATGAATTAGGTCGTTTTAAGCGCTACACGCAGATTAGATCACTGAACCCTCATAACCCTATTTAGTAAATACAGTAAGTAGTCGCCCCCGTTATCTGAGGTTTCACTTTCCATGGTTTCAGTTACCAGAGGTCAACTGTAGTCCCAAAATAGATGAGTACAGTATAATAAGACATTTTGAGAGAGACCACATTCACATAACTTTTTTCAGAATATTGTCCTAACTGTTCCATTTTATTATTACATGTTGTTTTTAATTTCTTACTGTGCCTGAGTACAGTACAATCAGATACTGAGTGAAAGATCACATTCGTATAACTTTTGTTACAGTATAGTTATAATTGTTCCATTTTATCAGTTATTAATATCTTACTGTGCCCAACTTATAAATTAAACTTCAGCATAGATATCTATGTATCATATAGGAAAAAACACAATACAGATGTTCCAGGGCTTACAATAAGGCTATTTCCCAATAAACTCATGTAAAGTTGAAAAATTTAGGTCAAACCATCCTAAGTCAGGGGCCTTATTTATATATTCGGTTCAGTTCTATCCAAGGTTTTATGCATCCACCGCGGGTGGGGGTGTCTTGGAATGCATACTTTGTGGATAAAGGGAACTACTTACTGTATTCTTATTATCAGCTCCACCGTCCTAATAAGAAAACTGAGGCTTACAGAGGTTAAGGAAGCTTCCCCAAGGTTAGTCTGACACTAGAAGGCAGATGCGAGCTATACTATAGGCCATCAAGATACATTACCTCTCACTCCGCTGTCTTATCTCATGAAGTTAATTTCATAGGTAAGAGACCTCAGGGCCCTCTTTTGCCACCTCCTCTCTTTAGAAAACTTTCCCCTATTTGTCCCAGGCAGAATTCATTGTTTGTTACTCAGTGTTTCCAATGAACACTACAGATGCCTCTATTAAAATACTCAGGCAAGTCAATAATCCACAGTACTACGTGATACTTTTAGTAAAGCAAACCAAGCCTCTGCGTGCACCTGTCCAGTGACCCCGAGCTCGATACCTAAGGAGACAGCGTGGCCCACTATTAGAAAACTTCGGTTAAGACAGTCTTCCCATCTACGGAAAAATGACCTCCCCCTAGAGAATGCAGCCTTAATCTCGGGGCTGCACAGAACATTCTCAGGATGCAAAAGCCCACCTACAGGCCTTCCCTCTCCCCTCAGGCCCGGCACACTGAGGGCAACCAAGGTAAATGCAGTCATGGAAGCCACCCTCCGGCCCCGCGGCCTGCGGCATCCCCAAACAAACCTGCTTACAGGCAGCCTCGGGCCCCCCCTAGCCCACCGCCCTCGGGCCCCCTTAGCCCACCCGCCCTCTGGCCCCGGCCGTCAGCGGCCCCAACGAACACCGGCCCCAACGGCCGGGCGCCGCAACTCACCGGGAAACCGCCAGGATGCACGTCGGACGCCGGGCCGGGCGCGACTGCGACGCGCCCAGATGAACTAACGAAGGGGGCGGGGCATCTTGCCGGCCCCCGCCCCCAGGCCCCGGCGCGTGCGGCAGCGCCCCCTGCCGTCGCTCCGCCGCGCGGGCGGTAGCGCAGAAGGGTGGGCGGGGAGAGCGGGGAAGAAGCCACGCCCTGCGCGTTCCACAGCTGCGGGGCGGCTGGAAACTTGCTCCCCCAAGCGCAGGGTCTTAGCTTCCGGCGACTGGGGCTTTAGGCACTTGGGTTGCAGTTTCTTTGTATTTTGACCTTAGGGTGAACCTGAGTCTTCTAGAGTTCTGTTGCTAGGAAAGAATTGGAATCGAGTTTTGTCTTTCAATCTGCAAGTCACGACCCATTAACGTGACGGATACTTAGTATGTCGGGCCAGCATGGAAAGGAGGAGGCCGCCCCACCGCTCCTGCTTGCCGATCATAGCCCAGGTCTCTCTGTGAAGAAGAGAAGAGGTGTTTTGGGGAACGGAATGTATCCGGCGGTCTCTGAAGTGTTAAACACTGTTTCAGCTAGTCATAGGCGTTGAGTAGTTTCTCTTGATTAAAGCAGGTTTAGAAGTTCCAAAAGATTATAACAGAAGGCGATAGTAGTAAAGTATGGTCTCAGTGAATGCAAACCCCTGAAGTATCTACAGCCCCTGTTTTCTGGTAGTTAATGTTCGCAAGATCCAGTTGATTAAGACAATCTTGAGGTCTATGATGATTTCAGAATACTATTAAGAGTACTTACTGTGAAGCCTCAGGCTAATTGCTTTCATTTAGTTTATGTATAGTGCTTGTTTTTAGGAAGTTGGGTTGAGCAGGCCGATTGCAATAAATTTTGGGGATGAAACAAAAGGTCAAGCTAGTGGGTACAAGGGACCAATCAATGTAAAGGTCAAGCGTGTGGGCACAAGGGGCCAATCAATCAATGTAAAGGGCAAGCGCGTGGACAGGTTATGCACCTAGGGTATAAAGGGCTCTGTCCCACAGTGCTCGGGGTCTTTGTCCCAGTTAGAGGCCACCATATCGGTTTGAGCTAGTCAATAAAACTCCTCTTGATGATTTCGGTCTCAGTGACCCTGTCTCTTTGTTCTGTGGTCCTACGGTTTCCCGCTCTAACACTTACAACTAGATAAAGTTAGATTCAAGGGCTTTTTGAGAAGGCGGTGTGACCCAGAAATTGGTCGAATACACCCACAAATCTTCGAGGGCCCATACTCCGGTCCTTAGTAATTACCTCAGTGACACCTCTGTCTCGGAAAACTTAAGCCAGCTCCAGTGGATCACATGCATGTCTGTGACTTATTAAGGTTTAGGTCCAAATGAGCAGACTTCAAGACTAAGTTGTCAAAATTCTTAAGCGGCACCTCCTAAGAGTCAAAATATCCTTGTAACCATTCTGGATCTGTCTGACCAGAGGGCATGTGCCCCTAAAGCGAAGGAAGAATGTACAAATTATATCAGGAGGACAGGGAGCTCTTCTTCAAAGTGGAGGCAATTCTCCTTATATTGACCCAAGTTCTGAGTGGACCCTGGTCTTCAGGCACATTCCACAGAGCTAACTACACAGAAACTGACCCTGCATTTCCTGAAGTGCAGAAAGGACTTAACACTAGTCCTTCAAAGCAATGGCTTTTAGCCGTGAAATAATGAGTAATCTGCTGCCTTCCTATACAACCTAGTTACATTGGTTTTGGACAATCTGCCCCATTGTTTTTGCTGATGAAGTTTGTGAGTTTCTGTGGGTTTTGGAAGTGTTAGGTCTGGAGCTGAGAGAGAGAGACACACCAAGCCTCATGTAGCAAAATGTTGTTTATTTTGAGCATCTGGGTGCAGATGGGTGGAGGCCAAAGAGCGTCCACCCTGAGGGTGGGGAAAGCCTTGGGTTTTATAGAGCGTTTCTCAGGGGGGTGTGAGTACCTGGGCCAGAACAGCTTCTGCAATCAAATTTTTTTTAAACAACCAATTTCTGGGACCCCTGGTCAGTCTCATCTTGTAGAGATAAGGGAGGGGGTAGTTCTCTCCTTATGGGGAGGACAGGAATGCTGCAGCTGTCTGTTAGATTTACAGCCTCCAGGGACTCTTCAGACTCCTGTGGCTATTTTTTCACAAACCTCAATTTTCTATTAACCACATTCTGTCCCATAAATACTGGAACCAACCCAGTCAGGAAGTAGACTGATTAGTATGTAACCACTCCCAAACCAAGATATGTTTACTTTAACTTTTAGCATTTAAATATATTTTAATATATTTAAATATATTTTAGCATTTAAAGATAGAGAAGTACTTTTGAAAGTCTCCCACTTTAAAAATGATGAAATTTTGGCTATCAGAAGTGCTCAAATGGCTCACACCTGTAATCCTAGCACTCTGGGAGGCCAAGGTGGGACGTTGAAGACCAGCCTGAGCAAGAGTGAGCCCCATCTCTACTAAGAATAGAAAAAAATTAGCCAAGTGTTGTGGCACTTGTAGCTACTCAGGAGGCTGAGGCAGAAGGATCGCTTGAGCCTAGAAGTCGAAGGTTGCAGTGAGCTATGGTGACGCTACTGCACTCTAGCCCAGGCAACAGAGAAACACTCTGTCTCAAAAAAAAATAAAAGTGCTCAAAACTATATGATTAAGTGAATTTTAATTGTGTGATTTAGGCTTATGTGGTTTCTTTTTTCGTTTCTGCACATCGATGGTAAATATTCCACCTCCAGATTATTCTAAAAGCACACTGATCACTTTTATGCCTTTTAATATTATCTGTTATCTGAATACTAAGGCTTTCCCATGTCTGTTTACTTGCTTCCAAATCTGCTACTATTAATTTTCAATTGAAGTAAGTTGTTTTGGGTAAAAATTCAATTAATCAACTCAAACAAAAAAAATAGATTAAGAAAAAACAAACTATAAGATGTAAGAATACATCATGTGTAGTAAAATTACATCCTGTTTCCTAAAAACTGTGTTTCACCTGTGCAGGTACTAGGTCACAAAGGAAAATCCATTTCTTGCTGTGAGTCATGGCCAAAAAGTTTGAAAATCGTTGCAACGAAAGCTTTCTAAAGACTTTCTATAATTATGATAAGAACTCCAAATCATTTATTCAAAAAGGATGTATTAAGCACCTGCTTTCAACCCTCTGCCCCTAGAGCACCAGGCATATGAAGTCATTGGTCTTGAGACTATGCAGCTGGGAAAATTGGCTTTTTTTGGTGCCATTGATGTCTTTGGCACCTGATAAAGCCTGTAAATCCTGTCTCTAATGGGTTTCTTTTTTTAGAAGAAAAACTTTAATTGCCATTGCAAAAAATAATCCCCGATATGACATAGAAATTGGTTGCAATAACATTAGTAGAGAATATGTTCTAGAAAGTGGAGGTAGCTAGATGTAAAATTCTGCCAGCAGTTTAATAAAACAGTCCCAGGTGTTTAGGTGGAGGCCAATACCTAATGAGGATGAAAGCCTTATCTGTGGGGAATTTCAAACAAAACCTGGAGAGAGATTACACTATGCCTAAACCAAACTGAATTGTTTTCACAAGAGCTGTAAAGTTTCATATAGTAAAAGGTTTTTTCTACAGGCACTTCAATTTCACATTAAGAGTGGCATAGAAGACCTAAACACAGAAGAGAACATTTATGCAAGATATCTAACTCCTTGATATAATAATGCAAACAATACAAAATGGTAATAATAACATCCAGGGCTTTCTGCAACTACAAGGTAGTGGTTATGGAAAGTTTGGCCCTCAGTATCAATATCTAGAAAGCAGCCACCACCTTTTATATGTATTCTCTTTTTGAATTTTTTCTTCATTTTTCTTAATCAGCTCTGCTGTTGTTGCTGCTTCTGGGCAAAACTGGCACACACACAAAAATGGTAGTCATTGTATCACCCAGCAAATCCCAGAATTCCTGCCTCAGAATCCTCCTATCTTCTCTCCAGGATGCTTTCAAGCGTTGCAAAGCTACTTAGGGCTTCTGGGCTGCTACCGGCAGCATCCTTCCTGAGTCTGAGCTTCCATCCAAAGACCATGAGGTCACAGAACAGCTGGGTGGGGTAGAATAATGTTTTTAAATGAATAAAAACAAACCATGTAGGATTACAAAGGAAACGAATTATATCAAAATATTAGTGAAATAGTAATATACGTACTTCTTAATGTAGCAGGTTGAATACTTTCTGTGATTTCAAAATTGCAGTGAGCATAAAACAATATTTTGAATTATCTCAACAGCTGTAATGTGATAGAAAAATATCTGTGATTTGTATTGGTGACAAAGTCACAGGTAGTGCTTTTAATTCTGGATCTATTATATACATTCATAATTAAAGAAAATATTAAATTCCAGTTAGAAGTTAAGGAAAATAAAGATAAAATTACTTTCCAATCAAAGTTCACAGATCCCTTGAATGCCTATTGCACAGCAAATCTAAAATGCCATTGTAACTGCATGATATTTAAATATCTGTAATAAGAGCTGTGGTCTTGCAGGTCAGGAGAAAATGAAAAGATCAACTAAAAATCAACTAAAATTCCAAGCTAATGGTGGAGTGACTCAGATGTTTAGCCTGCCCTGAAAAGTTCTACAAACCATAAGGAGGCCAGGGTTGGGAGGACCACCCTAAGACTGCAGCCCCACAGGGATATAGCTGTTCTTAGAGCGGTTCACTGCCTTTCCAACTAGCCCTGGATAGAGCAGACCCAGGGAGCAGCGGAAGCAAGCAAAGTCATACAGGCCATGCTGTCCCAGGACTTACCCCTACACTTCTCCTGGTCCCTCAGAGTCACAGGCCCAAGCACTTCTGAAGGTGAAGGAGCTCATGGGTCTATCCCATGCCTCTTTCCCTCTATACAACCTCATCATGGGGCCATCCAGCCTCTGCTTAAATACCTCCAGGGACAGGAGCGCATCACCTCCTTGGGAGGAAGGGCTGCCTCTGCTCTGGTTCCAGGAAGCCTTAGTTGACTTTCTAGGAAAGACATGAGTCAGCGGGTGTGGAGTGGGCTGCAGGTGAGTGCCCTGCTTTCTGCTCAGCACAGACAGAGGGAGAAGGAACTCCACGGCCACACCTGCCCTGTGTAGGGCTCTCAAGGTCCTCCAACATGGACTTTCCATGATCCTCCTCAGAATCCCATCTGGCAAAGCCTGATGTCAGGGACCCCACTCCACCTTCCTGTTGCTCATCCCCAGTGCCCTCCCTAGCCCCACAGTAGATACCCCAACTCTCCTTCTTCCTGTTCTTCCTCGCCCCTCCCTTCCTACAGGCTGCAGTGTCTTGTGTGGTCCCCTCTCCTTCTATGGATGCCACCTCTCACTCTGCCCCCAAGATCCCCCCTTCATTTGATGGAGTAGCACCCACTTCTCTGCTACATGCCCCCCACAGGCCCCCAGGACTTTTTGTTTTCACATTGGACACATAGGGGTTAAACAACTTGGGCTCTGGAGCCAGACTGCCTGGGTTCAGTCTGGACTGCTCCCTCCCTAGCTCTGGTAAATGATGCAACCTCACTGGGCCATCTCTAAAATGGGGATAATAATAGAACTTTCCTTTTAGTGTTGATATGAGGATTAAAAGAGTTAATATATGTAAAATGTTTAGAATGGTGCCTGGCACAAAGAAAACACTCAACAAATGTCCGCTGTTATTACTCTTACAACTGTTATTCTAGGAAGCTTCAAAAGTACAACCCACCTTTAGGGAAGGCCCTGAAAGCCCCCAGGTCTCCTTCCTTCACTAGTTTCCAGGACAGTATTTGCATCTCTGAAGCTTATAGCCACAACTTCGAGGTTTCACCCAGCAATCTGGGCATTTCCTCACAAAGAATCTTCTAGAAAGCTATGCTCCTCTTTCTCTAAAGCAGTGAACCCACATGCCTGGAACACTGGTGCTAATGCTGCAGAGTGGGAAATAACCCTGTTTCACAGAGAAAGAAATTGACCTTAATGGAGGCAAAGTGACTTCAGGGTCACTCAGCCAGCAAGACACAGTAAGGATGGAAACCCAAGGTTGATTGGGGCGGATGTGAGGGCGATCTGGCTGCGACATCTGTCACCCCATTGATCGCCAGGGTTGATTCGGCTGATCTGGCTGGCTAGGCGGGTGTCCCCTTCCTCCCTCACCGCTCCATGTGCGTCCCTCCCGAAGCTGCGCGCTCGGTCGAAGAGGACAACCTTCCCCGCTAGAGGAGGACCGGTCTTCGGGTTCGGTCAAGGGTATACGAGTAGCTGCGCTCCCCTGCTAGAACCTCCAAACAAGCTCTCAAGGTTGATTGGGGAATGGCTATTTCTTTTTTCATTCCTAAGTCCACAGTATTAGAGGAGGGAAAAGTGGGAAGCAGGAGATCATAGGAAGGAAAGGGGTGCTGAGAAGGCCAGAGGCCAAAGTGTGGGTTCAAATCTAAACCCACAGGGACGCATTGCTCCTTTCTCCAGCTGGTCCAGCAAGGCTTAACCAGAGAACCCTCTGGAACTGGCTTCCTAACTTGCAGCCAGGGTCTCTTGGCAGTCCAAGTCTATGGAATGCAGGCCCCTGCTGTGAACTACCAGCCAGGGGCTTTACCACGACTGGCCAGAGGGTGGCGGTCACTGCCTGCACATGGCTGCTTGGCCCATGCCTGCTGAAGGATAGAATAACAGATACGGCCTTCCTGGCTCAGACCCCAGAGGCAGTGAGTTTCTGCTGCTGAATCACTATGAGACCCGGAGTAATGGGCTCTCAGGCCTCAGTTTCCTCACCTTGAAAACTAAGTTCTTCATACTATGACTCCAATCCCTAGCGGTTTTCAAAGTGTGGTTCCCAAAACAGCAGCATCAGCATCACCTGGAAACTTATTCAACATGCAAAATTCTCAGGATCAATCCCCCACCTATAAAACAAGAAATCCCAGGCGTAGGCCCAGCAACCTGTGTTTTAACAAACCCTGCAAGGAGATTATGATGCAGGCTAGCGTGTGAGAACCACTGCCCTCCCCCAATGAAGAGGAGGGGAGAAGCCAGGTACTACTAAAGATTGCTGCTCAGCTCCCAAGATGGTGCAGTGTTTCCCCCTGGCGAAACAGTGAGGAGTGAGGAGGATGCAAACTGCACATCTATGGGGGGCCCTGGAGATGGAGCTATGGGATTCCCACCTGTTATCCCCGCAGGTCCTGGCAGTGAGATCCCCAAGGGAGTTTCAGCAGAAGGTAGGAGCAGGAGAGAGAGAGTCCTGGGAGGGGCAGCTAAGACCTCCCACCCTCTGCACACACTTGGCTCAGGGGTTGCAGCGTAGGCATGGCCTGGGGGGCTGACTTTCCTCGTGTCCAGCAACTGTTCAGGCTGAGGTTTCAGTTGTTTTCTATTCACCAACTGCTGAGCAGGGGTTGCAGTCCCCTCTTCCCCTTGGCTGCTCTGCCAGTGTCCACCGACAGGGTGATACCGGCCAGGCTGGGGGACGCCGAAGCAATCAGACAGAATCCCTGCCTGCAAGGGCCTCACAGTGACTCTTCCTCACCGGGACTCTAGGCGTTCTTCAACAGAGATTGACCTTCCAGTCGGAAAAGCCCTAGCCTATCTTATTCTCCCTACATGAGATGTCTAGGAATTGGATATTCCTGTTGCATAGAATACTTGGCACAGAGAGAGCACGTGGTTAATCTAGAGCACCTAGTAAAGCTGTGGCAGAGTGAGGACTAGGACCCAGGCCCCTTGAGCCCCTGTGCAGGCTGCCTGTGCACAAAGTGTGGGCATGGCCCAGAGACAGGATGGGCAATCCAGGGACTGAGCCCCTCCTCCACTGCCTGCCAAGCCCAGATCCTTCGAAAATGGGCAAGAGCCAGGAGTGGGCACTCACCCCACACCTGGGCACTGAGTCGCACTCCTAGGGGAGCCAAAATGCAGCTGGAGGGAATCAGGCCCTATTTGGGGACAGGGACTGGACAAGCCCAACAGTGCATGAAATTCTGGCTCTAGCTGGGGCCCACACTATGACTTACATTATTAGCATTTACCTACTGATACAGGAAGCAGCAAAGTCAGGATGGAAAAACAGGCTACCAAAGAAAGTGAGAGTGTGGGAGGGGAGCCAAGGAGCCAGAGTGACGGGCCTGCGGGGAAGAGGCTGCAAGTCCCTGGTGCATGCAGGAGTGGGTGTGGCAGCTGGGAGCCAGCGCCATGGTCTGCAGTGAATGAGGTAAGAGAAGAGACAGGTAGCTGAGCGTGAGGAAGGCGGAGGAGGTGCGTCTTAGCCTGTTTTGTGCTGCTAGAACAGAATGCCTGAGACCAAGTAATCTATAAAGAAAAAAAATTTATTTCCTCATAGTTCTGGAGGCTGGGAAGTCCAAGATCAAGGTGCCAGCCTCTGCTGAGGGCCTTCTTGCTGTGTCATCCCATGGTAGAGGGCAAGAGGAGAGAGCAAGAGAGGCCAAACGTGTCTTTCCGTAAGGAACCCACTCGCACTGTGCTGGCACTAATCCATTCATGAGGGTGCTGCCCTCAGGGCCTAATCACCTCTTAATGTGCCACCTCTTAACCCTGTTACACCGGGGATTAAGTTTCCAACACATGAACTTTGGGGGATGCAATCAAACTGTAGCAGGGGGTCTACCAGTGTGGTGAGAGTCTCAGAGGAGCAGAGAAAAGAGAACTAGGGCTCCAGTGCCATGCTGGTAAATGTTTGACAACAGGCTCACCAGGGAAAAAATCTAAACCTGGGTTATGGCATTTGCTGATCACCACAGTGTAAACACAGTTTGGGGAGGGCGCTTCAAGCCACCGACACGAAGCTGCTGGCCGACGCGTGCAATCTGCTCTGGTAAGCAGAAGCCACCGCTCCGGCACACTCCTGGGTGGTGCTGACACGGTGTTGGGGTGTTACTCTTGGCCCCGAGTGCATGGGGTGTGCATACCCTGCAGTGTCCACTCCAGAGGCTGCCAGGAAGTAGTGTCCTCTGGGGAGAGCTAGGCGCAGTGACAGCAGCGTTGGAGTAAGGGATTGAAACTATAGGGGTTTTTATTTACAAAGTTAGGGGGAGTCAAAGGTTTGAGAGCTGGCAGGGAGGGCAGGACTGCAGGGAAGTGCTGACCAGAGGGCCTGGGCTTGGGAAGCCAGGGGGCAAAAGGAGCTCTGGCAAGAGAGCTCACAGATTGAGGCTTCCAGTGGAAATTGGAAATCCCTTTCTGGCACAGCTTAAGCACAGAGTCTCTTGCCAGGATGAACAGGTGCTAGCACCAGCCCAGAAAGCTTGGGAAAGCACCAGGAAGCTGTATCAAATGCACTTCTGAAGGACAAAGGGAATTCAAGAAGCCAAAGGCAGCTTTAGAACAGCCTCCTGCAAAGCTCCTTCCCTAGGGCCTTTAACTCAGAGAGAGGGAGCCAGGGCCACTCCACACACTGGATGCCAGTCGGAAGTGCGTCCTGGTGACCGAGCTAACATCTCCACTGAAAGCACCTCCTTTATTCCTTGACTGCAGCTGTGCTAAAATTAATAGCAGAAGAATGAAAGCATGCAGAGACCTTGCTGCGAAGTTACACCGAAAGCCCCCAGGAGGCTGAGGCATGATGGCCAGAGCACGCAACCTCACATCTGGAGCTTATAATTCCCACTTCTGAGCCCTGACTGCGTGCCATGCAGGAGGCTGGGCAAGTCACCCAAGTGGCCTCATTTAACCATTCCTGGCTCTGAAAGGGAAAATCTCCAGCCTGCCTCTGTCAGAACCCTCTCTGGGCCTCAGTTTCCATAGCTGTCTAACTAGTGAGGCTGTCGGCTCTGGGGCTTTGGACCTTCTGATCAGTTTGGACCTTCTGATCCAGCTCAGCTGTTCTTCCTACTGGCTTGTCATGTTGCCTGTGAGCTGGCTGTGGCTCATGCAATTACACTGAATTCTTTCTGTACAGAATACTTTTTGTGTGTCTCTTCACATCCTCTTAGTCCAGCCACTACCCTGAGATCAGCCCGAGTATGAGCTGAGCTGACAGCACCTCCCCTGGAGGTAGAGGTTCCAAAGGGCAGTGGCAGGTGTTCAGCAAGACCTGCTGGAGGTGGCCAGGTTGCTCAGAGCAGTGAAGCCACGCTGTTCCTTTCCCCACTGTGCTTCTCTCGGCTCTGGACCCACCCTGATCTGCCCTCCCTGGCTGGACCTGAGCCACTGGAAGTCTCTCTCCCCATTCTCTGGTCCCCTCTCTCCTTGTCCCTAAGTCAGAAGAGTGCCGAGAGGCCGGTTCTAAGCTATTTGGCTATTGGAGCCTCAATTTTCTCATCTGTAAAATGAAGATAATTTCTTCTTGGGGTTGTTATGGAGAGTATTTTAATAGGATAAGAACTCTGCAGCACTTAGTGCAGTGCTTTGCTCATGGAAAGTGCTTCATAAACAGAAGCTATTAGTGGTAAACACATCGGTTCCTGTTTTCAATCTTTTATTTTGCTGAAAGGCAAGAGCTAAAGAGAGGGCAGGGCTCACCTGAGATCCCCCAGAGGCCTGGCAGCAGAGTAGGGATATGACCTGAGGTTCCTGGTGCCGATTCCTGTGCAGAGCACTTTGCCCCGCCAGCACCCTGCTCCGGCCTTCAGCCAGGACTGAGTGGCAGGGTGGTGGTGGGGGGTGCTTCCCAGCTGCTACTGCTCCCTCCATACTTTCTCCCACCCTGACTATCTGCTCTGCATCTGCATTTTAAAAGGGACTGTAGGGTTTTCACCACGGGAAGAGTCCAGGCCCAGGGCCAGCTCTGTGGGAGCACAGGAGCCTGGCTGGGCAGTCATAGCCCTCTGCAGCACCCAGGGCTTGGCCACAAAAGGGAGAAAAAAGGCTGTGTGGGGTAGTCATGAGACCTGGGCTCCAGCCTCAGCTCCACCACTTATGTGCCATGTGCTTGGAGCACATCACAGCTCTCTCTGGGACCCAAGTTCCTTTATCACACATACATGGGAGCTTTTGCAGTGGCCAGGGTCTCAGTTAGCCCAGATGGGCACTGAGCTCTGGCCTGGCAGGACACAATCTGTCCTCTCTGACAGTTCTTGGGCCAGGCCTCCAGGGATGGGGGTCCCTGCTCTGTAGGAGCTGCCTCTGGGGGTCCCTTGTCAATTAATTTGGCAGCTCCGTGTTCAGGGGCAAGTGGTCTTTGAGAGGCATAATGTGTCCATGTCAGAAATGAGTTATGAGATTCTCTGTGGGGCTGTGATCATGCCTCCCCCTCCATCCCACCCCCCTCTTGAGGCTTGTTTTGTCATCCAGTCTCTGTGTTTGCATGTGTCATTGCCCAGCCATCCCCGGTGAGCAGTGGCCACAGGGGACTCACATTACCGGCCACTGGTGGTGAGGGATGATGGAGGGAGGGGCAGGCCCATCTGCATACACATTAGGCCCTTTGTCTCTGGCTTCCATGGGGATGATGAATGAGGCCTGTCCTGGGCCTCTGCTGCCTGGGGACATCAGGGGCTCAGAGCAGACCTTGGGCTGGGTGTTGGGTGGAAGGCGGCCTGTGCCCACCTCTTTAGACAAAACCAGATCAAACAGGCTTAACCAGAGACAGCTGAAAGGAGACGGTAGAGCAGAGGAGTCCCAGAAAGCTGTGCAAGTCAGATGTGGTTCCAGCATTTCCCCCATCAAAGCTGATGCTTGGTCTTATGGGGCTGGGGTTCCATTTGCACTGCATAAATGCAGGCTGGCAGAGTTCTCAGAATAGCTGGTTCAAACACCTCACTCTACAGTGGGGAAGCCCAGGCCTGAGAAAGCCAAAAACTTGCCCAAGGTCACTTCTGGAATCAGCAGCTGGGCTAGGACCAGAACTGATGTGATGAACTGCCACAGACACCCCACCCTATGTGGCACGAACCCAACTAAATCTACCCTCAATGACTCAGAGACAAGGCACAGTTCCTGAGTGCAAGAAAGGGCCGAATGGAACTCTTCCCCATTCCTGGACTTTTAGGGGTTGAGCCTGAGGCTGGGCTGGCCTCCAGATGTGGAAGTCTGTCTTGTTCCAGCGGGGTAGGCAGGGCCAACAACACAACAGGGTGTGAAATGGAGGACGTACACTTGGACGAGTTGCTCCAAGGCTCCCCCAGGAAGCCTCTGACTACATGGGTGAACATATCACTCAGCAACTCAGCAGCCTTCTGTGCCTCCCCATGGCCACAGGGCACAGTCCTAAAGCTAACTCTGCCCACTTCTCACACCCATCTCTCGAAGGCAGCCCAGGCTAAGTGGCACCAACTGTGGGGAGCCATGGACTGGCATGGCAGACTGCTCCTAGTGCTGCCATGCTGGGTGACTCTGCTCTGCCTGATTTTGAAGATCACCATTTCCATGTCTCTCCTTCAATGAAGTATATGTTCCATACCTGATCTGGGTCCCCGGTCCTGACACCCAGCATAGGGGCTCAGTGAACGAATGAAGAAATGAATGAAATGACTAGAGGCCCCACTCTTGGAGAAAGCATTTTGGGCATACTCTACCCTCTGGCCCAGCAATCCCACTCCTAGGATAGTTCCTTAAGGAAATAATCCCAAAACAGAAGGAAAAAAAACCTTCAGAAACACAAGTGTTCATTGTGTTGACCTCATGTT